CAATCCTTGGGACCTGCAAGCAATTGACATACCAATTAAAATGCACGACCTAACTAACTACATTATTTCTTATAAAAAACTAAATTAAAATAAAGTGAAATAAAACTTAGAAACTAAAATTTGGGTTGCCTCCCAATTAGCGCTTGTTTTATAGTCTTCAGCCTGACTACTTCCTGTTTCATCTCGGGTCGACAAGGGTAATTGAAGTCTTTCCATGATTAATGTTGTCACCCCAATATTGCTTCAATCTCTGCCCGTTCACCTTAAAAGTTCTTTTTGAATTGGCTTCCTCAATTTCGACTACCCTATGTGGGAACACCTCCTCTTTATATAGTTTGGCGTTTTCAAGAGGATCTAAAGTACAACTTTCTACGAATACCCCATTCATTGTCTTTTCAACCAAATCAACCCTAAAACATTCTTCTGCTTCCTTTGGAAATTTCATAGCTGATAATAGATTAAATGTAACCTCTTGATCTTGGACTCTCATAGTTAGCTCACATTTTTGTACATAAATGAGTGTTCTCCCTATTGCTAAGAATAGTCGTTCAAGAATAATAGGTATTTCTCTGTCTTCCTCAAAATCTAAAACTATGAAATCAGCTGAAAAAATGAAACTTATCCACTTTAACTAGAACGTCCTCAACTATGCCCCTTGGATAAGTGAGTGATCTATCTGCAAGCTGCAATGTAACATTGGTAGGCTTCGTTTCCTTCAAACCCAATTGCTGATAAATTGAGAGTGACATTAAGTTAATACTAACTCCCAAGTCACACAATACTTTTCCAAAAAATTGACTGTCTATTGTGCATGAAATTGTAAAGCTACTTGGATCTTTGAGCTTTGGTGGTAACTTCTTTTGAAAAATAGCACTACACTCCTCTATAAGTGTCACTATCTCAAAATCACCTAGTTTTCTCTTCTTTGACAAAAATTTCTTCAAAAATTTCACATAGTTAGGCATTTTCTCCACTGCTTCTGCGAAAGGGATATTTATTTGGAGCTTCTTAAACACTTCCATGAATTTAGAGAACTCCTTATCCCATTTCTGTTTTTGCAAACGTTGTGGAAATGGCACGAGAGACACAATAAGTCTCGAATTACCACCATTAGAAGTTATAACTGGATCTTCTTCATCCTTTCCATGGTTCACATTCTTGCTATTCTTTTCTTCACGCTCACTATCATCTCCAAGTGATTGTTTTGGAGTGCCACCAACAACTTCAAGTAACTCTTTTCCCCTTCGTACTGTAATAGCATTGCAGTACTACTTACCTTTCCTCTTAGGATTGATCTCCGTATCACTAGGTAGAATGTCTTGAGGTTAGTTGTTAATGGCATTAGCGAGCTAACCCATTTGATTTTCCAGGTTTTGGGTTGATACTTCCATATTGTTCATCCTTGTCTCATTTTGTGATATGTACCTGGAAAACAGCTCCTCCAAATTTGACTTCTTTTTCTGCTGTGGTGGAGCTTGATTCTGAAAGCCTGGTGAGTATGATTGTGTTGCAGCAGAAGTTTGGGTTTGATTATTATTCCAAGCCAAGTTCATATTAGTCCTCCAACCAGGGTTATAATTGTTAAAATTATTGTTATATTACTGTCTGTTGAAGTTACCAACATATTGTACCGTCTCTAGATTAATTGCACATTGATTGCTCGGATGGTTTTCGACACACAATTCACAAACAACTGCCACACTCTGAATAAGTTGCACTCCTAAAGCATCAATTTTCTTCGTTAATGTAGCAACTTGCGCAGCCAATGCAGTCACTGCATTGACTTCATAAATCCCTGCTATCTTTGGCTGATTGATCCTCGTAGAAGGCAATTGATAATTGTTGGCAGTCATCGCTTCCAATAACTCATAAGCTTCATCAAAAATTTTCCTCATCAATGCCCCACCTGCAGTTGCATCGATACTGCTTCGAGTAGCACTAAATAACCCATTGTAGAACGTCTGAACTTGCAACCACTTAGGAAGACCATAGTGAGGGCATTTTCGGAGTAAGTCCTTAATTGTTCTCAAGCTTCATATAAAGTCTCAGAATCATGTTGTGCGAACGATATGATGTCATTCCTCATCCTTGCAGTTTTGGCTAGTGAAAATAATTTAGCTAAGAATTTTTGAGCTAAATCTATCCACGTTGTAATAGAACTCAGAGGCAATGAATGCAACCAACTCTTTGCCTTATCACGAAGTGTGAAAGGAAAAAGTTAGAGTCTAATCGCATCTTCAGAAACTTCATTGTATTTGAATGTGTCGCAAATCTCTAGAAAACTCACCAAATAATCGTTTGGGTCATCGTTAGGTAAACCCCCAAACTGCACTGAATTCTGAATCATTTGGATGGTACTCGGCTTGATTTCAAAACTGTTTGCTTGAATTACGGGCCTTTGAATGCTCGATTGTATTTCCATAACAAGCGGCATAGCATAATCCCTTAATGATTTATGTTCATCTTCAGCCATAGCTTCTTGGTTGTTTACTTCTTAACAATGCTTTCACAAATTTCAGAGCCATCTTTTTATTTCATCTCCGTATGGTAATAGCTCCTGACCTGTAGATTGTGTTTGCATATAAAATTAAACAGTACTTGCGAAAGAAATTAAAATAGAAAATTAAATAAGTTTAAAATAAGATCAAATTGATTGAAATTAATATTGAAATAATTACAAGAATAATTCCCCAACAACAGCGCCAAAAACTTGTTGTCCAAATTTGATATTGACAATTTACGTGCAAGTATACACGATCAACAAGTAATAAAGTGATAAGTAGAGTATCGTTCCCACAGAGAATTATTGCTAATAATATCCAAGTATTAACTTTGTATCAATTCAATTTTATTTAAATAATTGAAATTGACTAAGAATTCACTAATTTAAAACTAAATCTAACCTTTAATAATCAAAGGTTGAATTTACCAAATAAAAGAATTTAAGATTACAACTTCCCCTAATACCTCATATAAGTCTTTCTAACTCTCCTTCCAGTCAATTAATCAAAATAAGTTGTTAACTGAGAACTTAAAGTTATTTATCAAACCTCTTCCGATAGTTAGATAAAATTATTTATCCCAATTAAATTACTATATTCTTATGCAAAATAATTTAGAATAGATTCATTAAGTTTAAACTCTCATAAAAGTTACACACGGTATATTCCTATCCTATACACAAACCCAACAATTCAATCGTAAGAAGAATTAATTAGATGCATGTCATCATATTCAAATCAAAACTTAGAATTCATCTTCCAATTTCATCTAGGTTATCAAATTAATTGTTGGCCACACAATCATATATTAAAAACAAAATATGAAAAACAACTCATACATGATCAATATAACTAGAAATGAGAGTAGATCAATTTAACTAAATATTAGGTTCTGTTGCAACCTTAATAAGAACTTAGTTCATAATGTAATTGAAAACCATCCTTCTCAAATTAAACAACATCTCAGAAAATCAAGAAGTAAAAGTAAGAGAAAAGAATGAAAACTTATTTGCAATCTTCACTTTCTCTCTAGCCTTCGATTCTGATTTTTTTTTGCCTCGATTCCTTCGATCCTTATCTTCAATTTTATTTCAATCCCTTGGTTTTTCCAATGTTAGCAGCCCCCAAAATCAGAATATATCAGTCCCAACTCATATATGCATCATTAGGGTTCAATTTTGGGTCAAAACAAGTTAGAATTCGCGTCCAAAGCCAACACAAGCGCTTAGGTGCTAAAAAACACTAAATGGACAGTATGTGAGTGTAGGGGCGCTGAAAAGGCACTGGAACAACACTGGCCTTTTTTAAGCTTTTCAACTCCCTTGTTGCTTAGCCTTCAAAAATTCAACACTTAGGCTCCAAATTGACCTTGTTTCCTTCCGAATGAGCTTGTGTTGCTTCCAAATGATGATTCCTACCAAATAACATCAAAACACATAAAACAAATATAAAATAATATAAAATAATAGAAAACTTGCAATTTCATCAAGCCGAAAGTACTCAATTTGTAGGTATAAAACTCACTAATCAGGGATTACATTGACAGTAATGTCGGCAGAGGGGTGGTTTGATGGTCAGTGGAGAGGGTCTCAATATTCTAGGACCCTAAGAATAGATCTGCAATTTACACAACTTTTTAGATAGAGAGACATAAAGAGTGAGAGAGAGAGAGACAGAGAGAAAGAGAGCTAATACCTTGACAATAGTCAGAGGAAAGGAGATGATGATCTAAATTGGGGGGACTTATACAAACCGTGACTTATAGAGATTACCACCGGAGAAAAGATATGTTATCGGAGTTAGGCTGCTTCACCGAAGTGGTCTTTTTCTTTGGAGTGATCTTATTCGTCAGAGTGGTCTTCGGCGTTGAAGAGGATGGTGAGTGAGTGATCGGAGGAAAAGAGACAAAGACCTGAGAGAGGGTGGAATTTTTTTTAAAAAGAAATTAACCTAAGGTTTTTATGATTTGGGAATGTAAATTTTAATTTTATTTGTATAAATCGTCATTTAGAAGATGTCTTCAAAACATCATTTTGAATAATGACTTTAAATTTCTTATTCCAAATGACGTTTTATTTATTCCAAATGACGTTTTATTCCTCAACTTCTTCAGTCTTGTTCAGTTTTGTCAAGGTTAAAAATGTAATTTTAAATGACGTTTTAAATCATGAAAATGTTATTTAAAATCAATTTTTTTAAAAAAATTAAATTTAAAAAATAAGTTTAAAACTAATTAGATTTGAAAATAAAATTTGAATGGGGGCTCAATACGATCAAAAACTCTTTTCCTTTTGTTGGATAGTATAGTTAATTTTTAAACTTTTCAATGTACAAAAAATTAATTTTTAAACTTTTCAGTATACAAAAAATAAAAAATGGAGCATCGGATTCCCAAGGTACCCCTGCACCTTTTTTTGCACGTGCAACCCCACTTTTCAACACCTGTGCACCATCCGTTGGGGCACAGAAAGATCCTATGCAAAATTTCAGAATCAAAATAAATTCGCAAACCCTATTAGCAGATTATTCAAACCAACTCACATCTTCGGCAAGGGTTGTTTTTCTTTTCCTTTTATCCCTTATTATTACCTGTTTGGTTGCTAACGAAGAGACACCTACTAACCTTGGAATTTATAGTGACAATCGGTGTAAATGCTACGATTTTTATTTTCACTTTCATTTTCATTTTCTTCAGTTTTTCGTAACCAAACAGGACGCGAAGTTATAGTTTCTGAAGTTTTAGGTATACTGATTCTCTGCCCGCTGCTGTTATTATGTTCATTTAGGATTAACTATGGCGGATGAGACAATCGTCAACGGCGTGTTCGACGATCGGACGGTGGAGATTGGACATTATGAAGCAACCGATTCGAAGAATATTTCTGTTTTGATGCAGAAGGTCGAGGCACTGGAGCAAGAAAAGCTCCAATTGGAGACAGACAAGGCGGAGTTGACGAAAGAAATGGAGACGCTGGGACATAAAGCGACCAGAGCGGTTGGTCTGGAGACTGAGTTTTCTAGGCTGAAGCTCGAATTGATTGGGAATCAAGAAGCCAATGCTGAGTTGGTGGAGTTGAATAGAGTGGTTGAGGAAATGAAGGAGAGAGAGGGAGAGAAGGGTTTGAAATTGGAGACAGTGGAAAAGGAGAGGAACTTGTTATTGCAATTAAGGGAGGAAAGGGAGGAAAGGGAGAATAAAATTGACGAGTTGGAGGAGAGAATTAGGGAGAGAGAAGGGGAAATAAGGGTATTGAAGGAAAAAATAGGGGATTTTCAGGGAGAAATTGGGGAGAAAGAAGGGGCAATAAGAGAATTGAATGGAAAAATAGGGGAATTAGAGGGTGTGGTGATGAGGACTAAGATGGATATGGAGAAGGGGGAGAAGGAGAGGGGAGAATTGGAGATTGTGAAGAATGAGTTGGAAGGGCTTTTGAAGAAATCAGAGAGTAGAGTTAAGGAGATGGAGAATAAGGTGAATTTGTTGGAGGAGGAGGTGCAGGTGAAGAAGGAAATAACTGTTAATGGTGTTCATGGGAAGGAACCAATGGTGCTCGATAGGGGTGTGATTGTAGATGGGGAGAATGGGTGGATGAATTTGAAGGTGGAGTGGCCAGTGGCAGCATCTGTCGGTGCTGTTGCTGTGTTGGGGGCTGTGTGCTACTTTCGATATGCTAGGGAAACGTGATTGAATAGTGGAAGATTGAGTGAAAACGAAGAAGACTGAAAAGATCTTTACCAATCACGGGCATGCTTCAATTTTGATAGGTGGTATGTTTTCTGTCTGGCGATGTTATTGAGCCATCTAATGATAGTTACTTGGGGTGCTTTGCTTTTGGCTAGTACTAATGAGTCTTGTCATGTCTGGCTGATCAAGACATTTGGATTATTTTAAAATGACTCCTTTCTACAGCTTACTATAGTATCGAAGATTATTGAAATTATGTGTTAATCTCGTTTATGATATTTGTTAGCACTTTCTTGTTTACTGGTTTGATTATATTGATGTAATGGCAATAAGGCTATAAGTCTAGCGTCACTTGGTGATATGAGGAGCCATCCTTAAAATCTTGCGTTGTAGGGCCAATTAATATTTGGTTTTACCAAAAAAATGGAGTATGAATCTAATTGATGCATTGACCAAAAACAAAAATCTAATTGGTGTAGCTGGTATCATAGGTTTTGGATTCGATTCCATGGTAGTTCACTGTTTGAAACATGGAACATATAGCCATAATCTATGTCTGAAATTACGATACAACATAAAATTCAAGCGCCCAAAAAGTCTATCTCATTATATCAAATATCATTTAAAATTTATTTGTACCAATTATTTTTTTTGAAAAAAAATCAGCAATTTTCTCAAAATAAATTACTTCAAAAAATATCAACATGTGTATACTATCATAGATGAACAATATCTAAATTAAATAATTTAACTTGTGATAAAAATAGGTGATGTGATAGAAATCAGCTGGAAAAATATGTGGGAATAAAATTCAAGCTATCTTATTATATAGATTTTTGGGTATAATGAAACCTCTTTCTGAGTGATCCTTACCTTAGATCGGTTGATTTTTAAACGCAAGATATCACCTGGCAGTGAGGCTTTCCCAGACGATGTTCCTATTTGCATTTGCATTTGCATTTGCATCGTATATAAAGAGTTGCTAAACAATTGGACATGATAGGCGCTAGTTACTTGTCCGCCTTACCCATCATGGAAACACTAGCTGGAGACGTTTTGGTTTGCACTAGAGATCTTGGTCTGTGGTTCCATACTCTTATGACATGGAAACTTGGATTTAGACTGTTAGGACGAAAGACATTGACCTTGTTAGTTCTGTCGGATTTTCTCATCGTCTTATTTGTTAGACTGGCCTAGTTGGCATCACTAGCAATCAGATATTATGTTTATTTTTAGCCTTTTTAGTTTCTTTTTTATTAACCCTTTTGGGCTTCAGTCATGGTAGGAAATTTTTTCCAGTATTGTCTTGTTAATTTGTTCCATATTTGAATGAAAGAAGTGGTATTTTCACTATTTTGGGTATAGGACACATCAAGCATCCATGCATACAAACTTACGGATTCACACAACATTTACCAGCTATTTTATCAAAGGTTTTGTTTATCCAATTTTGTTTATTTTTTGATAGTTGAGAGTTTTTGGCAAGTTGTTCACATGCTAAAAGCATGCTTTTGTTACTTTCAACTTTTCGAGGGAGTTGTGCTTTTCTTATTCTTTTAGTTGTCCAAGATAAGATAACTGTCTTTACACTGCAGTGATAAAAATTTAGGCTTAATTTGTTCCATATTTGAATGAAAGAAGTGGTATTTTGGACATTGTTTGGTTTTTGTGCGCTTATAGGATGGGAAACATCAAGCATCCATGCATACAAACTTCCGGATTCACACCAGATTTATCAGCTTTTTTATCAAAGGTTTTTTTTTTTGTACTTAAAAAAAGGGTGGGGGAAAAGAAGAGCGTCCAACGACCACTCCGATAGCCCTCACCGGTGGGATCATAAGATCCCTGACCGCGCCTGGAACACTTTTCGGAGACCAAATCTAGCTAAGCTAGCATAGTGACCAACCACCAAGCCTCAATGGGGACTCCAAGACTCTAACTTTAAACCTCAATGTGAGGAGTAAGACCGGTACCCTACTAGACCACTCTACTTTGTGGTTTTTATCAAAGGTTTTGTTTATATGTTGATAAGTGAAAGTTTTGGCAAGTTTGTTCAAATGCTAAAAGTATGCTTTTGTTACTTTCAGTTTTTAGGGGGAGTTATGCTTTTCTTATTCATTTAGTTGTACAAGATAATATAACTATTTTTACATTACAGTGTTAAAAATCTAGGCTTGGCTTTGTCCCATGTGGGTCCTGGCTAAAGTTTCATTCTAATAAGGTTAGCTAAGGTGATCTTTTTTGGCTTTGAATGAGAAATTGAATTTGGGAATGAAAGGAATATCAAATTGGTATTTGGGTCATGGGAGGTGAATGTGGTCAGATACTATAAGAGTGTAGATGAGACTCGTGCCATTGTGGTTTTCTAGGAAGATTTTTTTTTTTCTCCTGGGAAAAGTTAAGAAAAGAGAAAAGAAATAAGTTAGCTAACTCCTAGACTAAGTGGGTGTCTCCCAGCTTCACACACAAAGTTTGGAAGCTGGTGGTCAAGGAGAACTCCCTTGTACTCGTAACACCCTAAAACACACATTGGACGTCATTACATTCTAAAATCATTTATATCATGAGAGCACTAATATAATCCCATAAGAAACAAGACTTTATTTGTCATCCACGAATATTTACAACATTATCTAAAAGAATAAGTTCAAATCATGGCTATTACATCTCAAAAATTAATTAAAAAAGCGCAGCGGAATAAACAAAAAAAGTTAGACTACACAATGTTCCAAAAGAATGTCCTAGTCTAGTACAAAAGGAAAGGAGGTCGTTTTATGCCTCCACCTCGGGATCCATACTCCCGTCCAGTGGAGTCTCCCAAGTAGCGGGCTCCTCGACCCTTACGTCCTCCTCCTCAAGCGGGTAATCTGAAAAATATTAGCAATAGGGGGTGAGCATAAAGCTCTGTAGAAAAATTCTCTCAAACCCATACAAGGTTTAGAAAAGCATTTAAAACGGTCGGTCTCAATTTTAACATAACATAGATACATAATTTGAAATAAAGCAGTGACATTTAAAAAAGATCTAAAGCTTATTTAAAAACATTACTTAAATGAATAAATGAGCAGCACATACAAATAATAACCATAAATTGTCATAACCAATTCTCAACAATACTTTCGATAAGTGGCATACTTTGTGGTAACCTCCACCCCCCTTTAGGTCACATTTGATTCTCATGTATCCTTACCGGGAACCTCTTGAGAATGGATGATCACGCTTACATGGAACCTCTCACCAATCACTACATTGTTTCTCAAGCATCCTTACCGGAAACCTCTTGGGAAGGGGTGAGTATCCTTATAAGGAACCTCTCACTCTTGTGCATCACAAACAACCCAACCAAGCATACAATTACAATATTTATCTCAATTTACAAGCATCTATCCAAAATTCCCTAAATATATCATGTAACAATTCCACAACCAACTAAGAAAATACATGAGATCACAATAACATCATTTTTCTACCCAACACAAAGCACTAAGATTTTGAAATCGATAATAAAGAAAGCATTTAGGAAGGAAATACATCACTCTCCAAAAATTAGGGTTATAAAACTAGAAAGGAGATTTCATGGGTATTAAACCCTATTTTGTTCAAAACATGTAATCCTTGCAAAAAAACTTAAGAGAAGATGATTCCATAGCATATATATATATATACAATTGATATCCAAAAGATACATATATAAATACCCTAGCCTCAATGTAAGTGAATGAGAGAAAACCTCTACTTTGAATCCTTAATTTGTAGGAAAAACTTGAGCTTTGATCTTGAATCTACCCTTAAATCTCTTGTTTTTCCCTTCCTTTCTTCCTCTCTAATGCTTTCTAGGGTTCGAAGAGGTGTGGGGTGAGAGTGGAGTGAAAGAAATGAGGGCAAATGGGGATGAAATGGGGTTTAAAACACCTCACCCCTAAAATTCACTGTTCATAGCCTGTTTTGGTTTTCTCCAACATTACGGTTTTGTCACTAAAAGTCTTCAATTTGATCCATATGACTACCCTAAGATTTTTCGACGTTTCAGATTCATTTTTAAAGTTATTTTAACCTAAAACATTTATTTTTATGACTTATCTCAAAACCAAAGTCAACGTACACCCGAAACACTAAAGTTTCTATTTTACCCATCCGAACCGGCTATTAATGAAGTTTTGTATTGTTTGCAAATAAAAGGTGATAAATGGTGTTTCTTAAAACTTTTTATACTTATTTAAAGCTTAAATGTTCTCATTATTCTTATATTTTGATTTAGGATGCAAATGGAGACGTTAAATGCAAAACGAAGCTAATTGGACTGTTTTGACATCGTTTCGTTATTTGGGCATAAATCTATCATCCGAGCTCCGATTGAGATGATTCAAGATGCTATGGAATGATAAGAAAGAGCTCTAAAACTTTCATGTTTTGAGTTTTGAGAGATATTGATTTCATCAAGATCTAAATCGGGCTTGAAGTTGCAGCTAGTGCACTGTTCACGTGCATTGTTCACGTCCTGTTTCATCCCTTTTCCATTTCCAATCCATTCCTAAGCCAACCAAATCCATCCCAAACCTCTCTAACACATATTTCTACACCAAACATATTTAATGCAAGTTCTAGGACCTAAAATTTCATATTTTCACTTATTAAAACCAAATTTCAACTATTATTTTCACTAACATTTTAAATCTCTACTTTTNAAGTTCTAGGACCTAAAATTTCATATTTTCACTTATTAAAACCAAATTTTAACTATTATTTCCACTAACATTTTAAATCTATATTTTTCCAATCTACCAAATTCAAACACATATCACTACACATATCCACATTTTTACCATAATTATTTATTATATATCTATATACATACATAAAAGAAAATGCAGGGTGTTACAATCCACCCCCTTTAAAGAAAGTTTCGTCCTCGAAACTTACCTCAAGTAGAGAATAAATATGGATACTTCTCCTGTATTTCTTGCTCCGGTTCCCATGTAGCTTCCTCCACTCCATGGTGT